GGATTAGTGTTAACTGCCTGCTGCTGCCAGGAGGGCTCCCTTGTCATGGCCTGGGCCGCTGGGAAGCTGCGGACTGAGAAAGGAGTGATGCTGGGTGGTGTCTGTGTCTCTGTCAGTGGCTAAGGTGGCCTTCAATACTACTTATCTTGGCCCCTCTCAAACACTGAGCTGAAGTGTTGCAACCTGCTGTAGGTGACCCTGCTCTGGCAGGGGGGTTGGACTAGATGATCTCCAGAGGTCCCTTCCAACCCTAACCATTCTGTGATTCTGTGAAGTGCAGCAAAACTAATCAAAAGCAAATCCTGCAGCTGCTTCTCCTTTGAGGATGCAGAGCTGATACCTGACTGCGCAGAGGAGCTGGGAATTGCCCACTTGCCCCTGAGCTTGCTAGGTAAATCAGGGCTGTGCTTGTGTGGCAGGGCTCAGGCAGGGATGGCGAAGCATGGCACAGATGGGCCTTCCTAATGATGCTGTACATGAACCTACCTTTCTTGCTCTGGAAATGAAAAAGGGTGGGTGGGAATTTTTTTCTGGAGGTTGAGAACAGAGAAACTTCATTCTAACTGACAAAAAAAATAAATCAAAGAGCCTAGGTGGTTTGAACTTCAGGGAAAAAATCAAACTTGATTTAAAGATTAATCTTAAACCTTCATGTGAGAGCAGAAAGCTATGAGTCTTCAAAGCTCTCAGATTAAAGCTAGTTTGACACCACTGTTGGCATAACAGTGCCATGGACGTGCTTTTTTGAGATGAGAAATAAAACTTCAGAGTGTCAGGAGCAGTTCAGTATGGTGTGGTCAGTCACAACAGCTGAGCAGGATCATTTTCAGCTTCCTAAGGTCCTTCCTGCAGAGGCTGGGGGAGCTCTGGTGCTTGCAGTCACACTGAGATCCCCTTATAGCTGATGGTCCTTGAGCAAGTATGCTTGAGGGGATGGAAAAAATGTGTTTTCCTTTTTTTATTTCTTCTCCCCCACCCCCCGGTTTGATTAGAAATTCCCACTGTTAAAAGGGGAGTAGTCTTTGTGCTGCTTAGGGCATTTAAAGGGGAAGGGCAGATGTTATATGTGGAAGCAAAGAACCAAACAGTATCTGACTTGAGGTAGCAGATACTGTTCTATTTAATTGGCTTCTGCCAATACTGTGTGATTGGAAGGTGTTAGCGGGTGGTGGGAACTGCTTTTTAATTCCTTCTTTACTCCAACAAGAAACTTCAGGAATCATCTTACAATGTTTTTTATTTTTCTAGCAGAACTGCACTTCCCTGCTACTTCAAGGATAACCAGTGCTCTTAGTCTTGCCTGCTTCTAAAATCTAATCAGAAGAAAAGATAAGACTCCTCCACGTTGTATGGTGGGAGGGTGAAGGAGGTCATAGGCTGGAGAAATCATCAGCTGGATAGGTCAAACAGCCGCCTCCTCTAGGGAGTGACTGGCAACTAAATGGCCTTGATACAGGTGGAGCTCTGTCTGGGAAAGCAGAGTGTAAACTCATAATGTGCCTTATGACAAGTCTTTAGGCAGCTGTCTCTAGTGTTAATTAACTGGGCAATTAGAGGATTAATATAGACCACACCTATTCAGTACACCAGGCAGGATGCCCTGGCACTGCTCTTAACTGTGTGTGCTAGCCAAGATCTAAACACCTTCTTGGCTGCTGCTGGAGTCTTCCCATGTCTCAGTAAGGCAGACAAAAATAGGCTTAGCTGCCTGTGTGGAGGCTGAAGAGGCTGAGAGAGGAGAGTCCTTGCCCAACTGCTCCCTGCTGCCCTCCATGGGGTTGCTGAACCTTCCCAAAGGGGCAGGGAGCTCTGGGCATCGGGTAGATTCCCCTGCAGGAACCGTCCTCTCTGGTGCAGAGCTGGATCTTGCTGTAATGGACCCGCTGCTTAGTGTAGGGCATGTGCAGTAGTAAGTGGAGGTGGGTGAACAGAGAAGTGAACTTAATTTCCTTACTTGCTCTGTAGGGAGTCTTCTGTGCTTAAGGCTTGCTATTTGGTCCTGAGCAGGAGGGGAAGGACGCAAACAGCAGCGGGATGCCAGTTGTCTGTGAGGCCCTGGCACAGGGTGAAAGCTAGGCAACACGGAGGTTTCCTCTTCTAGTTCATTGTCCCCCTCTTCCTAGTTGTTCTCCACCAGGGTTTCCTTGCTGATTTGTTCTGCAATTTTCTCTCCTGCAATTGTGTACTCTTTTCCTTTTGCCTTCACGGGTGGATTTCCGGCTTTTGGTGTTTTGGGTTTTCTTTTTTCTTTACTTCTCTACTTTCTTTAGTTGGGTCTCATTGACTTTTCTCCTTTACTTTCTTTTGAGTAACTGCATGTGACTCCTGGTGTCAGCATCCTCTCTTTCACTTCACTCTATACTACCTGTTTGTACAGCTGAACTAAAGGTACTGTGGGTTGCTGTAGGCATTGGCTTAGACTCCTGCAGGTGAAGGAAAGCTCCTCTGTCCAGGAGGGTGCTGTGGGCTGCGAATGAAGGTGAAGCTGAAGAAAAGCAGCCTTGAGGCCAGCCAGCACCCACCGGTTGAGGCTGTGCATTGCTGCTAATGAACGCAGATTTTCAGAAACATCAATGCTGAACACCAGCACATGTTGTCCCCACTGCCCTCACCCATTCCTCTGGAAGTGGTGTGTGCTGCCCTGCTGTGTCTGCCCACTCTGCAGCTTTGGAAGCAAAGCCCAGCAAGAACACCTAATACAGGGCTGCTCAAAATGAACATCCATGCTCGGCTGTATCTGGACTTTCCAAAGGCCCTCCTCACCCTCTGGATCTTTGAGAACAGTACCAGCCTCAAAAGAACAAACCTGCTTCTTTGCCAGAGCTAAAGAAGTTCTTTAAAAGCTTGGAGGTAACAATTCCTTTCTTGACCAGCTATGCTTACTCGAAACCTTAAATGTGTGGCAGTTGCTATACTATAACCCATGTGTTCATTAATAAAATATCTGAAAACAATTATCATAATAGTCATGCTTTTATTAAATTTCTTATGCTTGTCTTACAATGCATCCTGGAGTGGAGAACTATACAGTATGTTACAAGTTATAAATATATTTATTTCTGAAAATACATGAATATATTTCATATAATGCTGTAATAAGAGTGCTAGTTCATTTTAGTTTAAAAAAACCCAAACACAACAACAAACCTATAATGTGAATGGGGGTGGTGGTGATGGAATACCAGTTTATGATGCTACGTCTTAAAAACACTTTAAATTCAGTTTGCACAGATTCACATTCCTTACAGTTTCTGTAAAGTTGGAGGGATAATGGAGGGTGCAAGTTAATACAGGATTTTAGTCCCCTGTATTTATGGAGATATACAGACTATTCACAGAATAATCAAGTTATAAATCTTTCTAGCTTTGGATGAAGCTAGTAAGATATACAGTGAATAACAAAGTCTTGCAGCAGCTACAACTGAAACATTAAACACAGCACCTACTTTAGGGTGCTAACTTTGAGTCAGCACAGACTTCTTTTTTTTTTTTTTTTTTTTTCCCCTGGGGCTTTGGTGGGTTGGTGGGGTTTTTTTGGTGATGCTAAGTTTCTCTTCTAAGCACTAGGAGAGCCAAGCCTGGGCTGCTGCCTTCACTCACCGCTGCCCTGGGAGAACATGGCTGGAGGGCTGCTGAATCTCAGAAGAGGTCCTGTTCTGGGTTTGAGGGCTCCAGCTGAACTGGGTGAGTGAGGGGGAAGCATCTGTTACTGAAAGGCTAAGCCTGGTGAACTTGATCCCATTCCTGCCAGATTCTCAAATCTTGGTTCCCAGGCAAGTTTGAGTTGAGGGATTTTTAAAGAGCAATTTCCTGACTTCCAATTATATTGTAATTTAGGGGGTAGAATGATCTCTTAACAAGAAGCAAAGTTGGTTTACTTAAATCTTTACTCCACATGCATTAATTATTGTGCTGGTACCAGTAAGAGCTGTTGTGCAGAGACCACTGCAGCCATGGAACCTTCAGAAGCAGGTGCTGCCTGTCCCTGCACTCTGGCATCAGCGGACATGTGGCAATAAGGCAGCCACCAAAGCCATAGTGTTACACAGTTGGTTAATGCGGCCCAAAAGAGCAGCAGCTTGTAAAGGCTGTATGTGTTTGAATAATGCTTCCTTGCAGCTCTGCTCTCCCTGTGGCCTTTTCGCAGCAGGGAGAGTGCAGGCTGAGCCACACAGCAGCAAGACCACCCCACCTGCAGCCTCAGGCCCCCACCTGCACAGCCAGAGGACTCAACTTGTAACTTAAAAGTAGGAATTCAAGCCCTGTGCCCCCCCCCGAGATTGATAGCACAAGAGCTGGGCTGCCTCGTGAAGGTGTTACCTCGGATGCACCCTCCAGTCTCTCGAAAGGCTGATTCCTGCAGTGCCCCTCGCTCTGGTCTCTGCCATGAGCCTGCACGATGCCAACTCTAGGGTAGCACTGGAATTGAGGGGCCTCTGCAGAAGGATTAGAAGCTAGTGGTGGATTCAGGAATGGCCTTGTAAGAAGTCTTGGCTTTACAGACTTGGTTTTTCCTGTTGGATTCTAGTAAAATGGCACATCTGGCCAGATGCTGCTCTGAAGGGAGAAGCTGTGTTGGGGACAAGCAGAGACTGCAACTTGACCTCCCCAGCGTGTTGGGGACAAGCAGAGACTGCAACTTGACCTCCCCAGAGGGAGGAGGCTGTCCTTCCAACAGCCGCTTCTGCACCAGGCAAGGAGTCCCTGGCACTCTTCTACATGCTGCCGTGTCCCATAAATGTTAAGTTTTTGTTTCAGCTGGAGAAGGTCTCGAGAAAGCAATGATAACTTAAAAGTTTCAATGTTTCAGGTAATTCTGTTCCTAATCCACAGAGGAAGAAGAATTTCCAAATCTTACTTAAAAGTGTCTGTTGGTTATGTTGCCAAGATGCTAATAGCAATTTTCATCTGTGTCTTGGCTTTTGTAACTATAGTTCAGATTCAGGAGCGAAGCCGTACGTAGCTGAGCGTGCATCTGTCCGCAGTCCCTTCTCAACCTCCTCTCCCTACCAACGCACAAATCGGAGTTGCTCTGTTGACAAGTGTAGGATGCAGATTGCACAAAGTAACCCCGGGGTTCTTGGATTTGTGTCCGTTGGTGTTCCCACTTTGCCTTTCTGAAAGAGAAGCATGCAGTGAGCGTGAGAGATTGGAATGGGTTTCTCTGCATTTAACCTGTGGGATGAGTTGGGTAGGTGGAAGATGAGGTTGAGCCTGGTTCTATTTTTAGACCTGACTGTGGGCAGATTGTCTCTTTCCCAAGACATCTGGTTGGCTTGTTATTTGGGAATCTTTTTGACTGACTGGAGATAAATGAATTTGCTGCTGTACTTTTTGTAAAAAGGCTGCATCATGGAGCCTATATAACTGCAGTTGCCTTTAAATTGCGGATTAAAAAAAAAAAGTGGGGACTATTAAAATGAAGGTATATGGGCCAGTCCTCAGCTGGTGTAAATGCATTTAATTTGAACTTCAAAAATCTGACCTGTTTGTTTTTGCATGTTGGAGCGTGTCTGGATGAAGGAACAGGACTGTCTCACTTCTGTGCTGAGAAGAAGCAAAAAAACCCCCAACCCACAGAGAAACACATGCTGCTTTACTTATTTTTACCTTGTTCCATTTGACTTGGGTTATCAGAAAGGCCATATGTTTTCATTCTTTGTATTTTGCCCCAGAACGATCATGGAGTTCCTCTCAGTTTTCCTCAGCTCCGAAGACACAATATCTGGCCTTAACAAATGGAAAAATACAATTAAAGTTGACAGCGGTCAGAATGCATGGCTGTGTTTTTTAGCATTAATATGCTGTGCATATGTACCCAACATCCGAGCTGCACCCAAAGCAGCTTCCCCCTCTCCAGTCTGAAATTCCAAAACAGATGCTGTCCAAATATTTGTGGCAACATCCAAAAAAAAAAAAAAGACAGCTACAAAATGCATCACTTGGCATGGAGTCACAATGTAATGGATGGACACAAACATCGCTTCGTTGAGAGCAACCAGGATTTTCTGCTTAGCTGGAGGCGAGGGGGAGAGACTGGTGGGTGAATGTCACAGGGAAGTTAAAAATTCTGGCCCGAAGTAGTAAGTAGGAAATGAGATGTTCTGAAGAACAACACTAAGCTAGCTGCTGTGGACTGTCTCCAGCTTAATTTTTTGTTCGTTATTTATTACATACAATTGAAATAAGTGTAATGCATCCTGTTTGGTTGTAATGGCTGTTAGCTCGGGCCTCCAGGACTTATGAAAGACAAACCTTTTGGAACACTTTTTAAAAATAGCTGCTGTTTAAGAAAGAAAAGCTGTAGTTTCAGGGGGTTATTTTAATGCAGTGTTTCAAAGCTACTTACAGAAATTAAATAGCTAATAGCTATTTATTTCAAATAATAATAATAATAGCTATTCACTCCAAGTCTTTCATTTGAAAAACTTTTCAGCTCGAAGTCCTGACTGATGAGGTACAGACTCTTTATTTTGCCAGCTAATAATTTTTTTTCTTTTTAATCTAAGCATTATAGGTTGGGTTTTTTTTTTTGTTTGTTTGGTTCTTAATTCTTTTACAATGGAATGGTCAGATTTCTGCCTTGATGTTATTCTTTAATTCTTTGGCTGCTTCTCAACCCTGAGCACAGAGATCTCCCTTGCTAGTAATTTCCTATGTGAAGAGCAGCGTTCAGACCTGGCTCTGAGGCTCTATGGCTTCAGCCTTTGCTATACAATACTGAAGATGGGGTTTTGTAATGTTAGAACTGCACTGTCCTTCCTAACTTACATCACCCTGACCACAAAGTAGTCGTCATACAGCAGCAAGCTTTTTGGTGGCTGTCAAACTGAAACTAGCATCCTTACCATGAAAGATACCGTAATTTGAGGTTAGCTCATTCCCACGCAGCTGCATTAAAGCTGCAGCTCCTGTAGATACACATGTGGGTGC